ATTACAGCAAAAGCCAATGGTGTACACTCCCTTTAAAGAACGTCATGTGTTTGTTCCCATGACAGCTCAGTCTATACTTCAACACAGTTGCGGATCGGCACACCCTCCCCCCCCCCCCCCCAACAGACAAGTGCCACAAGTAATTATTTACATAATAGAAACAAGACAAGGCAAGACACGCCTAGTAAAGCAGGTCCCAGAGGGCACACAATTATATTCAATCGATTCAAAATGATTGTTTACTGCAAGTCATTTAAGGGGCGATTCCAGCTTGAGCTCGGAGGGGGGGGGGGGTAAGAGCAGGCATGTACTTTTTCTGTATGATTAGACCCCCTAAACGCCCCACTCCCGTAGATCCGCCATGTGCTTTTCATGCATAATATATACACAGTGTCGGGGCGAATTTAGCCCAGTTCTTCCTCCATGGTTTGGGTGATGGGGTATCCTTAGTTGGCCATTGTCAGACTTAAACTAGCTTAGACACACGTTACAGTCAGTGATATAGCGATACAGCCGAAGACGACTAGGCTCTGGACCTTACTTGAGACCAATTCCCTGAATTACCTCATCACTCTATATTTAATATCTAAATTCACTGCTTCAAACATCGGTATGTTTATGTTTTGACTGAAATGCCATATCTAACCTCCAGCCCACCCCCAGCCCCCAGCCAACCCCCAGCCCCCATCCAATCCCCAGCCCCCGTCCAACCCCCCAAGCCCCCAACCCCCCTCCCTGACCACCGCCACCACCACCACCCCACCACCACCCCCAAAGAAGGTATCTTGGACTTCAACACCCCAGCCAAACCCCCTTTTGAAAAATCTCTTAAGAGAAAAATCTCTTTTGAAGAATCAATTACATCTATAATTGATCCATTTTATCTTTAATGGAGTCATGGAACCAGACTACATAAACATAAAATCTCGGATCCGCAACAGCATCCTCAAACTGTTGGGAGGAATTGATCATAATACAAAGAGCGACTGACAGACCCTTGTAATAAAGATTATCTTTGTTAATTGATTGGAAAAACGTTGGGAGAAACGTGTCCGCAAGAAAAAATATTGCCATCTGAAAACTCTCGTTGCAAATGTGCATGACGAATATTCCCAATTTTCCGACATCTATAATTGATCCATTTTATCTTTAATGGAGTCATGGAACCAGACTACATAAACATAAAATCTCGGATCCGCAACAGCATCCTCAAACTGTTGGGAGGAATTGATCACAATACAAATAGCGACTGACAGACCCTTGTAATAAAGATTATCTTTGTTAATTGATTGGAAAAACGTTGGGAGAAACGTGTCCGCAAGAAAAAATATTGCCATCTGAAAACTCTCGTTGCAAATGTGCATGACGAATATTCCCCATTGTGCGCCGAAAATAATTTATTATGCAGGCCAACGTGCATCATTGTGCAAATGACATGCCATCCAACCGTAATGTATGCGCCTGCGTAGTTCCCGGGAATACGAAGCACGCTTCGTGTAGTCCATTAGACGTGAAATTTAACTGATGCTGCATGAGCAGACCAACTTCCTGATAAAGTTTGTGCCGGATTATCGACCAAGACGGTGGGTAAGTACAAATAATTATGTTCAACTTCGACTGTAACGAAAACGTTAGTTGGACTGAAAACTATGGTGGCCCTGAAGGGACATCGCATATCGCAAACGTGTGCGCACACGTGTGCAATGTCGTGAAACAATTCGCGAATATGTGCGCACACGTATGCGATGTCGCGAAATTTATCGCGAATATGTGCGCACACGTATGCGATGTCGTGAAATTTATCGCGAATATGTGCGCACACGTATGCGAAACATATTCGCGAATTGTTTCACGACATCGCATGCGTGTGCGCACATATTCGCGATAAATTTCGCGACATCGCATACGTGTGCGCACATATTCGCGAATTGTTTCACGACATTGCATACGTGTGCACACACATTCGCGATAAATTTCGCGACATCGCATACGTATGCGCATACGTTTGCGATATGCGATGTCCCTTCAGGGCCACCATACTCACGTGTTTTTGCCTGTTTAGAGCACTTCCTTAATAATGATACATCTGTCACATTCACGGTAAAGTGACCGCAACATATTCTTTTTACAGTAGAAGCTAGTGGTTTTATTGAGGGAACTTGTAAGTACGTGTACCGTTTTGTCTCCTGAGTTTGTAAAGGGTGAGTAAAACAAAAGGAAACCCAAATGACATGACCATTTTTGCAATGAAGTTCTGCATGTAGCACTTTCAAAATATAGCATATAAAAAGCCTAATCAATAAGCTTTCTTTTAGTACAAGAGTCACTCAAATCACTCATGTACTTTTCAAGTAACGGAATTTTAAACGAGGTTCTGTCTATGGATCACAAAAAAATAAGTGTCCTTTCAGCAAAACGAATATAATTCAAATAGGGATGTACACGGGATGAATTGTTTTCGTTTTGCTGAAAGAACACTGACCTTTTTCGTGATCCGTGGACAGAATTTTAAAACGGTGTTTGTGTTTAAAACTCCGTAACTTGAAAAGTGCCTAAGTGATTTGAATGATTCTTGTACTAAAAGAAAGGTTATTACTTGGGCTTTCATATGCTAGATTTTAAAAAAGCTACATGTAGAACTTCATTTGAAAAATGGTCCTGACTTTGGGTTTCCTTTTTTTGATTCAAACTTTATTTGTAAAAATACAGGCCATTTTCCTTTGTTGTCCGTCTCAATCGTCGTCGTTGAAAGCAGCGATCAAAGGTAAGAAGACCATCGCACGAATTGTCAAATGTTATGTGGCATTTCCAATATTTACAAATTACAATCCTGCTTATTGAGGGAATGTCTGTACGTGTATTGTAGTTGATTTAGGAGTAGTCCTCTTTAGTTTCTGTATTATGTTCTACTTCTCGAAGAATCTTTACTCGGTAATGGCTATCCAGAGGTGTCTTTTTCTTGGTTACAGCCCGATAGTCCGAAGGTTCGACAGTCCCATTGTTCTTTAGTCCGAAGGGTCATTAGTCGTCCGAAGGTGCAATAGTCCGAAGGTTCGATAGTCCGAATAGACGATAAGGTTCGATAATCCGAATAGATGATAAGGTTCGATAGTCCGAATATACCGTAGGGTTCGATAGTCTGAATTGACAATAAGGCTGATAGTCTGAATTGACAATAAGGCTGATAGTCCGAATTGAGAATATGGTTCGATAGTCCGAATGGGCAATACGGTTCGTCAGTATGACACTATCGGACCTTATTGCCGATTCGGACTATCGAACCTTATTGTCAATTCGGAATAATGAACATTCGGGCTATTGAACCTTCGGACTGATTAACCTTATTCTAAATTCGGACTATGAATCTTCGGATAAATGAACCTTCGGACTATTGGACCTTCGGATTATGAACCTTCGGACTATTGCATCAAATGTTAGGATTAACGAACCTTATTTCATTTTCGGACTAACGAACCCCCTCATGGAAATTTCGTGCATTCAGACTATCGAACCTTCGGACTAAAGAACATTCGGACTATCAGACCTTTGGACTATCGGGCGCCCCCCCCCCCCTTTTCTTCACCTATTGCTACATGTGTAGGTTTATTGTCCGTATTATTCACCAACTTGGATACGACAAAAAATCCTTTATTGGGCCCCTGAAAAAAATATGGCTTAATGTTGGGCTATATAACAGGCTCGGATCCAGGCGGGAGTTTGTGTGGTTAAGTGGCCCACCCCCCCCCCCCTCCGCCCCGGCCCCGCCCCCGCCCCACGACTTACCAACGTTAATTATTGGCATAACCCTTGCAAGGTTCCCTGAATAAAGTTACACGCGTTATTGAAAATCTCGATTAATTGATTCAGGTCTTTAGTCTTATAACTGCAACGCCTCTTCTACCCCCCCCCCCCCTAAAACCTTGGAGTCTTACATCGACACCCGTCGACTTCTTAAATCCTGGATCCGCCACAGCCTGGCGCCTTGTAAGTAGACTATAATTTCCCGTCCCTGGATTCTCATGGGGCAGAACCCCTCTACCCAACGAAAGTTGCGTTATCCACTTCGAAAGCCATTATTCTACTCGTCTGACTAATAAGTATTTCCTTGATTCAACCAATTACTTCACATTTTGTTTCATTTTCTGCGAATGGCGCGTCATGACCTCGCGCATCTCTCTTTCAGTACTAGGGCTTTCAGATCAAGGAAATTCAAGGACAATTACTGTGATTGCTACTTTCTATTCATGTTATTACGATTAGAACCCCTATAGGCAAAAGGGTATAACTTGAAGGGAAAAAAAGGGCATTTCGAGAAAAATCAGTGTCAAATTTCAAGGTCCTCTGTTTTTTTTTTATTTTACCACAAATTAAACCAATGTTTCTACCACGAGTTGTGAATAAACATACATTAGAAATGTCAGTTTCTTGTCCTTGGCAATTTTAAACCAGAAATTTGCGCCATTTTTTTCCATGAAGTATAACAAATATAATAAAAAGGATTATTTTGGCAAAAGGATGAATCTTGAGAAAGCATATCCAAATGCACTATTATTGCACTTCCACTATGCGTATAATGTATACCTAATAACAAGGCAAAAGGATGTATCTTTTATGCCCTTTTGACATGAGGTCACATCCAGCAAAAAACCCAGAATATATCTCAACAGACGCCCTTTTGTCAAAGAAACTGAACCAAACATTCACAATTTTGCACGAGATACATCTGAAAAGGAAGGACATATGGACTTGAGGGTTCGTTGAAGGAAAACAGCGCCCCAAATAACCCCAGAAGTGACTTCATCTCAAAAAGGCCAAGACTGAAGTTACACCCTTTTGCCTTGAGGGGACCTTACGCGAGCTCCAAATGGACTTCATTCTATCCCGAAATTGACCACTGGGTTGTAGTTTTTCACTTTCAAGATTTGTCTTTTCTCTTTAATTTCAGAACTTTAAATATTTGAATTCGGATTTTCTGCTGCCAAAGCAGGCCATCCACCAAGATGGCCTTGCCGGCAGGGAGGACCAATCTTCGGTTTGGAGTCACCATGCTGAAGCTAGCTCTGGTACTCTCCATAAGCACTAGCTGGTTCAGTCCGGTCCTTGCCAGTTTCATCCGGTTCAAACCGGACACCGAGTACGTCTACACCTTCCATTCCTCCACGGAACTGAAGATGGTTCGGACGCTGCAGGCCGAGTCTAAGGTATCGAGACCATTCAACTTGAGTAAACAAAAAGTCACGCATTGGTCATTTGTTATTCAGAGTTTCCCTCCTGTGTACAATTATTGTTCACTCTAAAATTAATCTTTCACTCTCAATTGTCTAGTATGTTGTATAAACAAGGTTGCATTTTAGGATCCGACATGAGGTTAAATGTCAGAGATCGAGATCAGAGGCTTTGTAACATCACTTCTAGCCTGTATATAACCATATGGGATTTTTTTCCCGTACGCCCAATAATCGTCTGTTTCTCTAAATCATTAAGGATTGGGATAGGCAAAAGTCTTCGATTACACGATGCATGGAAGCAGCCAAACATTCTGGTTTTTTTCTATCTCTCCACGAGGACTGCGATTACTTCATATGAACTCGTTTTCAAACGCCACAGGAATTTGTTTGATACCTTCTCTGCCTATTGAAAAAGAATGATGATGTTTATTCGATGGTTTGTTGTCGTAGTTTTTGTTCGTTTGTTTGTAAATTTGATGGTTTTTTTTGGTTTTTGCAGTACTCTATCTCTATCATTCTTTATCGAAAATCTGACAACGTTGGAGCATCGAATTGAACTGACTTTTAAGTCTAAATGTTGTACTGTACTCCCCCCCCCCCCCCCCCCCCCCCCAGTAATTACAATTGCAACAAATCTCCAGGCTCTTGAAGATTTCAATGATTTGCACGCCCAAGTTAACTTTTGAAAACCCGGCCTTGTAGTACAGGCATTATGTGAAAAAATTAAGGGATAACCTCAAACAAATTGCAACAGAAACCATTTAAAAGGTTTATTACTCAGAAAAATCTCCTCTATAACATATTAAAAGTCTTAAGAAATCCGAGTGGTGGAAAGTAGTTTTCTAATGTGTTTCTTAACCACACCCAGTACCACTTTTTTTGCTACTTTATAATGGAATATTTAGTGATGCTGCAACAATATATTTAATACTAAACACAGAGAGTTGATCTTAATTTATTATTGAGATGCCCATTGACTTCAGAAAAGATCTGTAAATGATTTATATTCATTTATTATGCTGTAATATATATATGCTATCTGCAATATGTATATATATGAATCTATATATAACATATAGGTTCAGTCTATTCTGCTACCATTGGTTTCACGCACACGCACACTGCGTGGCGATCATCAGGCGAATTTACTCATTATTCTAGACCTCGGTAAGTTTCAATATCCCTATGTTTCCCAAATTTGCGATATGCCGATAATAATTTGCATAAATGCCATTTATTAATTTGCATAGATTAAAGTTAAAATTATGGCTGTCATGTGTTGACATGTCACAATAACATTTCCCCTGATAATCCAAGTCCAGTCATGTACATAAATTAATTTCACACCATGGTGCATTGCTATAAGGTTCCTTAAAAAGGAAAGAAATCCAAGTGGTGGAAATATGCCTAATTTGCATAAATTCAAAATGGCCACTAATTACATGATTTTATATTTGGCCATAACTCTTGTCCTGCATTGCTTTTTGGAGTACTTTGAACAACAATTTGTCCTTTGACATTGATTTCATCATCATTCCAGTCCGAGGTACCTTATGAGATCCTATGTTTCCTATGGGGTATAAGTGTTGGAAAATGTGATATCCCTGTGTCGCAGAGCGAACCCTTGTGCCGCTCTACTCGGACCAAAACTCAAGGAATAACTCAAGAGAACAGAGGATTCAACACAGGAGTTACAAATCACAAAAATCATATATATATACGGGAAAGAAATAAACCAAAAAACCGCAAACCTCAATCCGAAAATACGTGGGCGATGGTTTTTACCCCTCCCGCATGGCTGCAAGCCCGGAATTGGTATGCAACAAAGGGAAAAGGAATTACGATTTGCATAATTCACCTAGCACCCACCTCCGAGTTACATAACACTTTACGGCCGTAAACAAATAGTGATTGATGAATTAACTCAGAAAATAAAAGGAATAATTTTAACACATTTCAGGGACAAAAAAATCCCTACTTTAAATCCACTAGTACACTGCATAGGGATATCACATTTTGCAACGCGTATGCCAACTTTGAGATGAGCCAAAACCGAACAAAAAAATATCTTTCCCAATTTTTTGATTTTTGTAGCGAACATCTTGGGGTTTAATTTTCATCCAGTTTGTCTCAATGTCGGGTGATCCACTAGGTCAAATTCAAGGTCAAATTAAAGGTCAAAATGTCATTTTACTCTTAAAAACCCCCACATGAAAAAAAAATGGTAATTTGGATTTCTCATGATGTAACCTTTCAAAAGAAATTAAGATTAACACATTTGGCTCAAACATATAGAAATATGGTCATTTAAAAATGGCAGCAATGTCCATTTTGACCAAAATTGCCTGGGCGGTAGCGCGAAACTGTTTTGTCCGATGGTGCTCAAACTTAAAATTTCGGCTTTTCAGCCGAAATTACCCCATAAACTAAATATGATCCAATTTGAAGAGGTTGGGGTTTCAAATTTAAAGGTTTTGGGGGTTGATTTGGCACTGAATGGCCCCAAATGACAAAATGTTGTTTAAAGTACCCCGAAAAGCAACTTAGGACGAGAGTTATTACTAGATAGCATATTATGTCATATTTTTGGCCACTGCATTTTTCTTTGCTAAAGAGGGAATTTTTCTCATAATTATTTGGATAGACTTTACCTTCCTTAGCTGGAAATCCATTGGTAACATTTTTTTCTATCTACCATGTGGCGGTCATCTTGGAATTCAAAATGGCCGCCATTTCGGGCCTAATTTGTATCTAACTTCGGACCTAATTGTCATATGAAGTTCAGTTTGGTGGCAAACCCCATGTTTTTGATACCAATGAACCCACGAAAATCATTGTTGATGGGGTATACTCCCAGTGGAGTACCCCATCAACAATGATTAACTTGGATTCCTTGGTATCAAGAACATATGCAGTTTGCCACCAAAATGGACTTCATACGACATTCAGGTGCCACCTTATTATTTAAATGAAATCAAAAGATGGCCGCTATTTTTGAATATCCAATATGGCTGCCATCCATTTAGGATGCTTAAATGTGCTAATTGGATTCCTTGGTATCAAATTTATGGGCTTTGCCACCACCAATAGTGACTTCATACAACATGGAAGTCCAAATTTATTATACAATATTTCAGAACGGCGGCAATTATGAATATCAAAGATGGCTGCCATCAACTGTAAGTACCCCGGTCCACAGTGATTTACTTGCATTCATTCAAATACATGGACTTCATAGGACATTCAGGTGCAATGTTATTATAAATAAGATCCAAGATGGCGGCTATTTTGAAAAAAATCCAAGATGGCTGCCATCCATCTGGGATAGATCATCAGCAATGGGTCATTAAGATTACTAGGTATCAATGTATGGGGTTTGCCACCGAAATTGACTTCGTACGCCATTCGAGTCCAAATTTATTATGCAAATAAGCCGAAAATGGCGGCCATATATTTGAAATATCCAAAATGGCTGCCATCCATTAAGAGTACACCATAAACAATAATGTACTCAAGTTCCTTGGTATCAAAACATGGGGTTTGCCATCAAAATAAACTTCATGTGACAATCAAGTCCGAAGTTATGATACAAATTAGGCTCGAAATGGCGGCCATTTTGAAATCCAAGATGGCCGCCACACGGCAGCTGGGAAAAATGTCTTCAATGCATTTCGGCTTAGGGAGGTAAACTCTTTCCAAATATGGCAAAAATTACTTCTTAACAAAAAAAGCAAAAGTATATAACGGCCTATATACTATTATGGCCGCGCCAAATCATATGAAAATCATGTAATTAAGCGGCCTTTTGTTGAATTTTATTCAAATTGAGGCATATTTCACCCAATTGGATTTTTAAACAACCCAAAACCTCTAAAAATATATTTCATATTTAAAGAAATGTAGCACCAAAAACTAATAATGACTGGAAATCCAA